CAAATACAATCTTTAAATTTTATTGGTTCTATGCCAAAAAGTTTCATACGATTTAATTGATCTTCATAAAACCATTCAAGTTCGTATACGCTTAAAACACCATCACCATCATTATCTAAACATCGAAACCTTTAAAATATACAAAAAATTAAAATCTAAAAGTTTTATAACGGAAAGTTTTTGTAAACCTACCAATATTCAATAGAAGTATTTGTAGATTTATCAACTTCAGACAAGAGAAACCCTAGAAATCGTCGATTACACTAATCGTAAGCAACATTTATAAAACAAATAAAAAAAGAAATTGACACTCGATATTACAAATGAAATCTCTATAACTCATTTTTGGATTATTCGAATCATATTCTTTCATCGACAAATCAGACATTTTTCCGTATCCGTGTATTACGCGATCGATTATCCTTGGAGTTAATGCATTATCAGAATATCGAACAAGATCTTTCTTATTTATACGTAAATCGTAATCATTATCAAGTTCCCAAAATTTACAATATAATACATAAAAATGTTTGTATGAAAAGTAGCTGCAAGTCTAATAGAATGTAAAATAATAATAAATTTCAAAAATATAACGATAAATTAACAAAAAAATTTATTACCAATTAATTTAACTTACATTATTTAGATCAAATTTGGATTCTAAATTTCTCAACATTCCTGATAAATCCATTTTTTTAAATTCTTTATAAGTCATTTTACCGGTCCAATTACGATTGTAATCATAAAAAATCCGACAAATTACAGTTTCGACTTTTAAAAAAATGAAATAAAAATAAGTAAATAATTTATTCAAAATATATATTTATGTATGTATGTATGTGTGTGTGTATACCATAACGTTCTCGAAATATGATATTTTTCCTCAAAAATTCCAGCCCGGGATGGTTCATTATGGCATCTTCAAGTTGAAAAAATGAATAATCATTAACGATTATAATTGATTTTAAAGTAACAATAACCTATTCTTATTATACCTTTCAAAAATATGAAAAAATTATAAATGGTTAAATAATTATTTTTGTCATTTCTTAGTATATTAAAACATAATGAAGCTTCATCTTTTGAAGTTTTTATAAGCATTTTCCATACTCTTAAAAAAAAAAAAAAAAAAAAAAAAAAAATTAAAAATTAAAACGGATAGAGATAAGTAATCGAAAAATTTAGAAGGATTCTGTTACCTCTCAAAATGATCCAAAGTTATATGTTCATTTCCACTTCCGTGCTCAATAATTTTACAAAATAACGCCGCACTCATATAACGAGGTAATCCACATTCTCTTGTGATTAATACAAAGTGTGACCTATTTAAATAATTATTTGAAGATAATATTTCCCGAATCTTGGTCTAAAGAAAAAAGAATTAGAATATGAAAAATACATTATTGGTAAAATTTTAATTTATTAAAAATATATTACCAAAACAGATTCAAGTCGATTTTCTTGAATTTTGGATATAACCGGAAAATAGAATCGTGGAATTACAGACATCTATTATATTCATTACAAAAAATTCAAAAAATTTAATAAAATTTGATATAAATATAATTCGAAAGTACACGTGACATTTTATTTGAGTACACTTTATCGACCGAATTCCTTACTGTGATAGCTTTGGTATTACAATCATTTTGTGTGTATCGGTATGATTCTAGTAGAAATTAAGGTTAATAAGAATTAAAGTTAACCGCTAAACAAGATTTTTAACTCAATTAAATGTATATATTTGGGTATTGTCTTTTGTCAAATAGCTTATTTGTCGTTATTGAGTATCAAAAAAGATAAAAAAGACTACATTGAGAATTTATCATCATCATCATAAGACGTTTATAACTAAATGAACGTTACGTAATAACATTAAACTGCTTAATATGATTAAAGTTCGTGGTTAGCGTTAGATAAGTAAAGTTTATAAAAAGTAACCAATTAAACCTATTACTGTATTAATAATACACATGGAATTCTTATTTAGAATTATGATCCAAGTGTCAGGTCCACGCGTATCAATAATGATAATTGTTCGTTAACTATATACATAATGACATATGTGAAAAGTATTACAGTATTAAAAGCAAGTCTCACGTTTCAAATCACTCACTTGAAATGGGAATTATATACTCCTTATTTCTGATTGGATATCAAATGTTGAAATATTTAGTAAAATCTCTTAATAATGACTCTTAAGGGGGTTAAACATTAATTTTTTTTTTATAGTTAGGGGTGTTTTAAGTATCATTAGTCTAAACTTATTAACAAAACTATTTACGTAAAATAAATATAATTTTAATATTTGATATGCTTCCTTCGAAAAACAAATAAAACAAACCGACCTTCCATTTTTCTGGATTTCTTTTCTTTTTTTTTTCTATAATTTTTAAATCGTGAAAAGTTTTTTTTTTTTTTTA